CTGGTCTCGAATGCGAGACCTACCTCCGAGACCTAGGATCAGGGATGACGCTGAGAATATTCTTGGATTTCCCAACCTCTCTTTTCCGATAGACGAGAAGTGGAGGCGGGCAACCGCATGGTTGACTCGCTGTGCATTTTTCTTGAAGCTGTCCTGCCTGTCGGTCTTCCAGTGGTGATTGAGAATCCTAGGTTGTCTCGGCTCTGGCTTCATCCAAAGATCATTCGATTAAAAGAGCAGCTCTCTGGTGCTTTTCTTGTTTTTTGACCAGTGGTTTCGGAGCCCGCTGAAGCAAGTCCACTGGCCTGCTCGCATGGCACTTCCCTGAACTCGCTTCGTACGCTCGTAGGTGCTTGGGCTGCAAGGGCGTGTGCAGCTTCTCTGGCAGAGCCCACGTTCAGCTGCATGGGGAGGACCGTTCAGGCCAGTGGCGGACCACGGGTTCGCAAGAACATCCGAAAGAGTTCTGTGAGCAGGTTGCCAACGCGTTTTCTGATGCTCTCAATCGTTTCTGAGAGGGCTTGGTGGGTCCTCCTGTTTTTCTGTGCTGTGATGTTGTAAGGTTTTAGCGGGCTATCGCCCAGAACACTTCATGGAAGTGGGTGTGGGAGTGCTTTCAAGCGCTGGCATATCTCTCTCGCAAGCTTGCTTGTTCGCTGCCGCCGCCCTCAAAGTCCGTAGAGCCTGGCAGGAAAAAGATTGGCGAAGCATGACACATGCTTGCAGGAGTATGCTGAGCTGTGTTGGACGGCCGCCTCTCGTGTCGTATGCTTTGCACCGCACGCGCTTCTGTCAACATTGTGGCTCAGTTTTCTCTCGGCCCACCGCCCCGCCCCTCTATGCCTCTTTATCTCACATTTAACGTTTTCTGTTTCTAACCTGGGAGTGCTTCCAGGCGCTGGCATATCTCTCTCGCAAGATTGCTTGTTCGCTGCCGCCGCCCTAAAAGACCGTAGAGCCTGGCAGGAAAAAGATTGGCGAAACATCATTATACTCTTGAGTGCCGCATCCTGCACATATGCTCCAAAGTCTGGTCATGGATACACGCGCAGGGCCCCGCTTTGGCCAGCACTAGAATCCGCCCGACCCGGGGCGCGAAGGAGGAGGAGGAGGAGGAGGAAGAGGAAGAGGAGGAGGAGGTGGTGGAGGAGGCGGGGGAAGAGGAGGAGGAGGAGGAGGAGGAGGAGGAGGAGGAGGAGGAGGAGGAGGAAGGGGAAGCGAGGCATCTTGTGGACTTGGCCTCTTGGATGCCGCCAATTTTTTGTTGTTGCTGGAACCGTTATATACCATTATGGAAGCCTCTTGAGCCGTCGTGGACCGTCTTTGGTTATCTTAAACTCATATTGGACCGTTTCGGAGGCATCTTGGGGCAATGTTGGCCACTTTGGCCGCCTTGGAAACGGCGTGGGGTCGTTTGGGAGGCCATGTTGGACCATATTCTGCCATTTCGAATTCGATGCGTTTTGATTTTACGGTTCGCCGGGAAGCGGAATCGGGCGAAGGCAATTGGGAATTGTTGGGAGGGCTAAGCCTCACAAGTCTGACACGGCAGGCGCTCCTTTGCAAGCAAACGGAGGCGGCGGATCGAGTGGCATTCGGCCCATCCCGCCAGCGTGCCCCGGTCGTGTACCAGAAACATCGTGGGGTCTCGTGGGGGGCCTTTTCGGGGGCCTCTCGGAGGTCTCCTGGAGGTCTCTTGAGGCCTTGTGCGGCCGTCTTGACGGCATCTTGGCGGTCTCGGGCGCCATTTTTCCCGGAAAGGGCCCAGGCCCAGGGTTCTCTTTTAGCTGTTTGCCCCCGTAGATGGGCCGGCGAATTATTTTGCGATAAATAACGAGGTCGCGAAGGGCCGGCGAATTAAAATTTGAGGATGTCTCGAGGAAACGCTTGTGTTTCAGAATTTGTTGAGGATGTTTCGAGCGAAACGCTTGTTTTGTGTTATAGATTATCCTCTCTTGGGGACCAGAATTCTGAGGATCTCTCAAGTGGATTGCTTGTTTTCACGTGCCCAGGTCTTGAGGATGTCTCGAGCGAGACGCTTGGTTTCACGCCTCCAGGTGGCCCAGACAGATGTCTAGCATGAGGATTTGTTGAGGATGTCTCGAATCAGAGGCTTGTTTTCACATGTCCAGGTCGCCCAGGCGGATGTCTAGCATGAGGATGTGTCGAGGAAGTCTCGATCGAGACGCTTGTTTGCACGTGTCCAGGTTGCCCAGGCGGATGCCTAGAATGAGGATGTGTTGAGAATGTCTCGAGAGATACGCTTGTTTTCACGTGTCCAAGTCGCCCTGGCGGATGTCTAACATGAAGATGTGTTGAGGATGTCTCGAGCGAGACGTTTGCTTTCACGTGTACAGGTCGCCAAGGCGGATGTCTAGAATGAGGAGGTGTTGAAAACGTCTCGAGCGTAACGCTTGTTTTCACGTGCCCAGGTCACCCAGGCGGACGTCTCACATGAAGATGTGTTGAGGATGTCTCGAGCGAACTACTTGTTTTCACGTGTCCAGTTCGCCCAGGCGGATGTCTAGCATGAGAATGTGTTGAGGATGTGTTGAGCGAAACGTTTGTCTTCACGTGTCCAGGTCACTCGGACGGATGTCTAGAATGAGGATTTTGACAGGATGTCTCGAGCGAAACGCTTGTCCCCAGCACGCTCCGTAGCGCGTCCCCTTGGCACGTCCCGCGGTGCGACCCCATGGCACGTTCCCTGGCACGTCGCCTGGCGCGTCCCTTGAGACGTTCCGCGGCGCGTCCTCCTGGCATGTCCCCCTGCCAATTAGCTCTGCGGCAGATACTATGTGTTCAGGCAGCTCGAGCTTAAGATCCAGATCAGTTCGGTCAGGACTCGGATGCAAAGGAGGACTCGATCCACGACGCTATAGAGCACAACCGCGGCATGGCACATCGCAATTTAGCACGGTGCAGCAGCACAGCACAGACTTCGGTACGGTACATCAAGATCGATATAATCAGCATTGCAACCTGGCACGTTCCTTGGCACGTTCCGTGGGGCTTCCTTTGGCGAGTCCCCCTGGCACGTCGCGTGGCGCGTCCCCTGGCACATTCCGTGGCACATCCATTGGCACGTTCCGTAGCGCGTCCTCTTGGCACGTCCCGCGGTGCGACCCCATGGCACGTCCCCTGGCACGTCGCCTGGCGCGTCCCTTGAGACGTTCCGCGGCGCGTCCTCCTGGCATGTCCCCCTGTCAATTAGCTCTGCGGCAGATACTATGTGTTCAGGCAGCTCGAGCTTAAGATCCAGATCAGTTCGGTCAGGACTCGGATGCAAGGAGGACTCGATCCACGACGCTATAGAGCACAACCGCGGCATGGCACATCGCAATTCAGCACGGTGCAGCACAGCACAGCCCTCGGCACGGCACATCAAGATCGATACAATCAGCATTGCACTTGCCCGTCACCCAATCAGGTGTCTTTGAAAACGCTGCCATGCGTTACATTTCTGTATTCCTTTGCGGGTTCGTGGGTCGAACATGTTGGGGAAAGGGCTCGAAATCTCAGCTTGAGTTTCTCCTGTCGGATCCCTCTTAGAGGTTTTTGGGGGCCTCTTGGGGGCCTCGGGAGCCGTGTTGGGGTGATATTGTGAGGGCCGCCTTGGGCCCTCCTGAGAGCGAAAAGCTCTTCACGCCAAAATCATACAACACCTCATCGTGCTTCAATGATTTGGGCGTGTTAAGCTGGCCCGAAGGAATTCCAAAACAACAGCCCAAAATGCGCTCAAGAGGTCTCCAGGACGGGCCGGGAAGCCATCTTAGACCACGTTGGAAGTATCGATTCCCGACCACGCTCCCCAGGCCTTTGCAAAAGTCACGCGACCGGCACCAGGAATCCTCAGGGCATCCCCTAAGAAAAACTGCATTTGGGGACCCAGGCCCTCCAACGAGTATGATTACATATGCGCAGCACAACTCGAAGGGACTTGAGGACACTCCACTCAGTGCGTACGGCACGGCGGCGGATTACTACGGGCACATCACCGAAGACGGTAAGCGCCAGGGCGAAGGCACCCTCTACTCTGCAGAGGCAGGTAACGACGACCACTTCATTGACTGCGTCATGTCGGGACAGCCGTACACCAAGGAGCGCCTTGTGTGTGAGGCATGTCATTCGAAAGATCCGCGTATGTTATGTTGTCCACACAATGGGCTGGAAAGGGATCACCTGAAGTTCTTGACATACGACGGACAATGGCATAACAATATTCCGCATGGAGTTGGCGTGCAGTTCTACCCCGATGTGAAGATGGTTGGGGGCGTTTATTACGGAGACTTCAAGGAAGGATTCCGCCACGGCCGTGGCACTTGGCAAGTGCGCGACAGGTCTTTCACATACATGCCTTTGCCGAAGAAGAAGCAAGTGACCAATTGGAAGAACGACATGATGCACGGCGTGGCAAATGTGGAGGACTCGAAGTACGTCCACGAAAACGTCGTCTACAAAGATAACAAGACAATGATGCCCTTCGCGTCCGTCGGCCCGCCGTCGATGAATTTCGACCAGGTTGCCGGGTGGAACGTCGTTTTTCAGGGAGTCCGTATTGTCTCACATCAAAGGAAGATACGAGAGAAAAGCGCGGCCGCGCCGAAATCGAGCATGTCGTCGTCGTCGCTCGGAGCCAAACGCAAAATTCGGCCTAGGAGTCCGAGCAAGGCCAGCCTTTCTTCGGAGGGGTCAAACCAAGGAGTGTGGGCACAAGACGACACGAAGATCATGCAGAGAGTCGTAAAACATCACGGCATCTTGTCGACGGAACAGTTCAGAAACAATGAAGAGGAGCAGGTCAACCTTCTGAGGGAGCCCACAGAGCTCACGCAGCGTCCGGAGGACGTGCTCCTCTCGGGTGGCACGGGGGAGAACGAGGCCATGAACGGATACTATGTCAGGGTGACGAAGAGCTTCGGCCACAGCCTCTGGAGGATGGTCAAGAGGGAGTCGGGGGTACTGGGCCTCTGGGCCAGGCACAGCCAGCGGTACATCTACAGGGAGGACAGCAAGAGGAGCCGCACCTGGTGCATCGGGCCCGCCCCCCTGGCAGGGCGGCCGACGGGGGCCGGGTGCGCCTTTGCGGAGGAGCTCTTCCTCCTCCTCCTCCTCCTCCTCCTCCTCCTCCTCCTCCTCCTCCTCCTCCTCCTTCTCCGCCTCCGCTTCCGCCTCCGCCTCCGAGGACGTGGGTCCTGCTGGCGCGGCCGCGCAGTCCGCCCCGCAGGCCGTCCGGGCGGGGTGGGCCGTCTGGAGCCCCGTGCAGAAGAGGATGGTGAAGCCCAAGGATTTGGACGAGGACGTGGACGGCGAGACGAAGCAGAGCATCGACACGATCACGGTGCAGGGCATCGTCGGCTTCACGGTCCAGTGCGGCGCCGTGCCCGCCCTGAGCGGGCGCCTGTTCGTGCGGCAGGGCGTCGAGTTCTACGAGAGGCCCGTGTACGTGAACGAGGCCAAGCTTCTGGAAGACAGCACCTTGTACCTGTACTGGTTCAAAGATGGAGGCGACCTGAATGAAGGGTTGTCTATGGGAAACGAGAGGAATATCCGCGACGCAGTCGACGCCAGCGAGATCTTCCAGTCTGGGTGCTGGGTGGTGAGCGCAAAAATGGGTGCGAGCCCAACTTCATCTGGCGGTGATCACGTGGACACAGAGTATCTGGTTGCTTACCTAAACGATCGGGCCTTCTCGCCATACTACATTGCGACGGGGGCGAAGTGGTGGGTGAAGGACGACACGCTGGGCAGTTGGATTTCAACGCAGCTTGACTGCATGCACCAAGTGTCGCAAAAGCCCGACCAGGCGATGGACTTCTTCGACAGCTCGGATGAGGAAGACCTTAGCGATTCCGACTGAGGCAGCGCCAGGCTGGTGATGGCCCTCGTCCTCTGGCGATTTCTGGAAAAATCCATCGATTTGATGCATGTCGTGTGGTTTGAAAAGCAGCTGGGCCAGAAGTCCAGACTGCGGGTCAAGGCATAGCAGTGCCGAGGCGGACCGTGGTGGACAGACTGACAGTCTGGCACCCTGAAGGTACAAGCATGCTCGGTCGGGTCGAGCACGCGGTGACGGTGCACATGATGTCCCACCGGTCGTGCTTGACTTGTTCGGAGAGCCCCGTGCGCCCCAGGGGCACGGAAGCGAGGTGTCACACGCAAGGCGGCTCGAGTGAAACGCCGCCAGGCTAGTATTTGTCCCCCTGTTGTTCAACCTCCTCCTCCTCATCCGCGGCCGCGGTGCCTGCAGCTCCGCGCCAGACCCGTGGGGCTCACACAGAAGCACGTCCAGACGGACGTCTGATCCATCCCCAGCACGCAGTGCTGCGCCCACACGCGCATGGAATTTATGTTTGACCAGGGCTGCCTTGCCGATGTGTTACCAGAGGACGGCAGTACAGGCCTGCCCCCCTACCCACTTTTCTCCATGAGAGCATCTCGACAAAGCCCCCCGTGAGCTCAACAAGGCCCTTGCCCAGATCCAGGACGCCACGAAACAATCGTTGTTTCATGTTCTGTTCTTCGGACGCACAATCCTGCAGAGGGCACGCGCACGACGCATCTGGGACTGTCTTGAGCGCGCCATCGTCTGGACTTGGGACACATCACCCTCGAGCGGACACGGTTGGGATCCAGCACCGGTGGATCGAGCCAGATCGAGGCCACATCCCAAGACCTAGAGCCGATGACACCCCCCTTGGAACGCACCATCCTCTGGATCGGGATCCAAAGATCGAGCTGGATTGAGGACGGTTCGGTCGGGTCCGTGATGCGTTCGGGCCGGTTCAGCCGGTCCTGTTCAGAACGTCGTCCAGTCCAGTCCAGCCAGTCCGGTTCGAGTTGCGCGGCCGGTCTGGTTCGGCTGGTCCGGTCTGGTTGGTTCGGTTCGGTTCGGCCGATGCGGATCGGCCGAGGGTAGCGGAGGAGGAGGAGGAGCAAGGGGAGGCGGCTTGGACGACGACGACGACGACGACGACGACGACGACGATGACGACGACGACGACGACGACAGCGGCGGCGGCGGCGACGACGACGACGATCCCACGTGGGGGAAGGAGGAGGAGGGAGGAGGGGGAGGGAGGAGGGGAAGGGAGGAGGGGGAGGGAGGAGGAGGGCGAGGGACAAGCTAGGTGTGCTCGCGTCATATCTGACGTCTTTCCCCCTCCCTCCCATCCCTTACCACGGTGTAGAGATCCTATCTATTCGCACCGTGGGAGACCGAGCAGGGCAATGATCGCGAGAGGGTACGCGATGCATGGTAGAGCACGCCATGGCATGGCGTAGAAGAGCACGGCAGAGCGTAGCATGCCATAGCATGGCGTGGCGTTGCGCAGTGAAGCATTGCATCGCAAAGCATTGCAACGCAAAGCATGGCATCGCACAGCGGCGCAGAACACAACACCGCACAGCATGTCATGGCATGGCGCCAGGTTCCTTGGAAGTTAAGTGGATCGTCTTCCAGAGGTCTGGGCCGGTCTGGAGTCGTGGCTCCATGTCTAGCTCCTTGGGCTCCTCCAAAAAACTCCACACAAGGCGGGGCTGATGGAGAGCGCCCGCTGCCTCTGCTTTCAACATCGCCTTCGCAAAGAACACACGGGGCTCCCGCTTAAGACTTCTTGACAGCGACGACGACCCAAAGTGAGGGGGGCTTCTCCGGCCCAAAAAATTGAACGAATCGACACCGCATGTGGAATCATTTCCAATTGTTTTTTCGTAGGGCATTTTCCTGATTACGGGGTCTATTTGGAAGGAAGGCAGGAGCTGCAGCGGGAGCACGATTCGGAACGAGCGGAAGCGCGGAAATGAGGCCAGCGCTGCAGCGGTATCGTAGATCCCCCGCGGGGGATCCAGGCCATTTGCGAGTAGTTACTTTGCGAGTAGTGGAACGCGCTCGTCGAATTGGGAATGGGGAGGGAGGAGGGGGGAGGGGGAGGGGGGAGGGAGGAGGGGGGGAGGAGGAGTGGGGGAGGGGGGAGGAGGGGGGGGGGAGGAGGGAGGAGGGAGGGGGGGAGGGAGGGAGGGGGGGAGGGAGGAGGAGGGGGAGGAGGGGGGAGGGGCCTCCCCCGTCCCGCGTCCGTACTCCGAGGAGGGGGGGGGGCCTGCCCTGTCCCAGGGAGGGGGGGGGTCTCTACTCTGCCCCAGGGGGTGCCTACTCTGTCCCAGTCGGGGCCTACTCTGTCCCAAGGGGGGGCCCGCCTTGTCCCATGGGAGGGGCCTACTTTGTCCCAGGGGGGGGGGGGGCAGGGAGGGGGGGGCCTACCTTGTCCCATGGAGGCATACTTTGTCCCAGGAGGGGGGCCCTATTCTATCCCAGGGTGGGGGGCCTACTGTGACCCCAGAGGGGAGCCTACTGTGACCCCGGAGGGGAGCCTACTATGTCCCAGGGGGGTGCCTATTCTGTCTCAGGGGGGGGCCTACCTTGTCCCAGGGCCTACTCTGTCCCAGGGGAGGCGGGGGCCTACTCTATCCCCCTGTAGCCCTCGCACTCGCCGTTGCACGCCGCCGCACTCCGCCGCCCCCGCGGGGGCTGCTCTCTGGCTCGGTCTGCTCAGCTCGGTTCGTCGGGCCGGTCCAGTCCGGCCGGTTCGGTGTCCGAGGTCGGGACGGTCTGGTTCGGCCACTTCGGGTCGAGGGGCGGTCCCGTTCAGCCGGTTCGGGTCGTGGGCCAGTTTCCCGTTCTCGGGCCGGTTCGCGGCCATCATGGAAGACGGCAGCTGGCGACCCCGAAGGCCTCAATGAAGAGATTGTGTGGTGATGTTTTCAATCTTTCGCCACCAATAGAAAGCTCGGGCGCAAGCCTACTCCAACCCCTCCCTCTCTGGTGCATTCTGCCGACTGGTGTTTTTGTTTGCCTGCTGGTGCATTTTGCCAGTTGGTGCATTCTCTCTCCTTTTATTTCAGGAGCGAAAGGGACGTACACTTACATGAATCCACATTGGTTTCGAGAGTACGCATTGCGCGAATGTTCGTATCACGCGGCCGGTCTCGCGGATCAAGTGGACGTGTTCATGTACATGGTTGGGCGCGTGCGTCTTTTCTGGGCTCCCAACGATTGCTAGTCTCCCAATCCGGGCTTGCACTGAAGAGATCCTCGCGGAATCTGAAAGATTCGGCGAAAGTTCCAGGCCGTTTTGGGTAGGCGGCTCGGTTCCCTGTTTTCCGGTTGTGGGTTCCTAGGTTTCGGATTCCGGGCTTTAGGCCGATTTCGGTGAGCGGTTGCGTTCCCAGGTTCTTTGTTCCTGGTTTCTTTTCAGTGTAAGGTCGGGCTTGCCCATTCCCAGGTTCCCTGTTCCAGGGTTCCCAGCAATGTAATTTTGGTTGGGTTCCCGGGTTCCAAGTTCGGTGGGCGGTTGGGTTATCGGGTTCCCCGTTCCCGATTCCGGGGGCCCTGGAAGTATGAGGTTTGGTTTTTGTTTGTCTTCTTGGTTCCTGCTGGATTCCAGGCAGCGTAAGTTTCGAAAGTTTGGGAGATCTTGGTCGTGGCCAAGCTTCTGGGTCTTTGATAATTGAAAACAACAGGGCCAGACAGTGGAGAGCAGAGTTAATTAGAGGGATTGCTACCACCAATCAGATACACGTAAAACATTGATCTAACACATGTAGAGAGTACGACTAGAGAGCATATGGCGAATTTTGGTGTAGAGAGGGGGAAGAGAGAGAGAGAGAGAGAACAAAAAAAAAGAGAGAGAGAGAGAAGAGAGAGAGAGAGACAAGCACACACGCACCCACAATCGTTGAGTCTATATCTATATACAGTGTACATTGATTTGAGGGCAGGCCCTGAACAATGGAGTGCGTAGCAAGGTGTGCAGGCATACCAAGTAAACAGAGACTACACGCATATGACAGGTACACAACAGAGCGAAGGAGAGAGAGAGAGAGAGAGCGATAGAGAGAGAGAGAAGGAGAGAAAGAAGGGGGGGCAGGCGATGAGTGCATGCGAAAACTCCAAGACATCCCATGATCGTTTTGTTCCCCAGGTCGGGGCTCCCTCCCCCCTCCCCACGCATCCTTCTCTGGTGCATCCCACCGGCTGGTGCCTTTGCCTGCTGCTTGCACAAATGCAGGAGAGGCGTAGGCCGCCCGCGGAAAAGGTGGGCAGATGTGTAGTTGTTTTGATTTCTCGTTCTTTCACGCCGCGCAGCGGTAGTGGTCTCATCTCGCACTGTCGTTTCACATTTTCGCACGTCTATTTCACATCTCGCCGGTAATGTCGGCCCGGCGCCTTGCCGGGGCAGGCGGACTTTCCGCCTCCCCACGGGCCGCTCTGTTCTCTGTTCTAAGATCTGTTGGAGGGCCGAGCTAAGAGGACGTCAGGCGGAGCCCAACATGAGTTCCGAAGCAATCGGCATGAATATCACTGTTTGCTCCCACGGCACCGCTTAGTCGGGCAGCCCCGCATGGCATGGCCATGCACGAGCACGAACGGAACTTGAAAGGCAGTGAGACGCTATGGATCATGTCCAGACACGCCCCCAACGGAGCGCTCTCCCGACCACCTCTCTTCGAAAAGCCAAGCCGCCATCGTGAGCACCGTCCGCAGGACCCAGGGGTGAGAGCCAGAGCTCGAGCGGCTTCGGGGGTTGCTGAAGGTGCCCCTGGCCCTCGTCCGCCAGCTTTTCGCTCAAGTTTCGGGCCCCTGGGGCCCTCTGGGCCGCGTGAAGGGTGCTCCGGAGGCCGTGGAGGCGTCCTTGGAAATCCTGGGGGCACCTTGGGCCAGTGGCATTTCTGGCAACTCCCGAACGATGGAGAAGTGCACGGGCAGGATGACCCCAGCCTCACCGCTCTGCGCAGGTGCAGGGACGCTCTTTAAAGTGGACCTCGCCCTCCAGGACTCGAGGGGGCTGACCTCTCTCGCCC